CAACGCGCGAGCGATGTTAGATCAAGCAAAAATACAACGCGCGAAAATGGTCGAAAATTTCCATTTGGCAGGGAAAGTCGAAAAAAACGCGTCAACACCCCACTTTTTGGCTGAGATGGGGGTCACACACCCCTGCATTGACCCGGTTTCGCAGACTCCCATACCCTGGGATATATGAAAGGGGGCAAGCAAGCAGTAGCTAAAGCAAGCGAGGCGTGCAACTTTGGTTGCACAACTCAATTGTGGCAGTTGCGACTTGTTTTGTCTCAGTCCCATCGAGGTCCAAACCCTTCGGGGTTGTGTTGATGCACTGGGTCACAATCATACCTGCTCCTCAGTTTGTACTCTGCCATCACCAATCTCCACTCGAGCGAGTCTCGTGGAAGGCGGTGGTGGTATTGAGTCCTGGGTATGTAGCTCGATGATTGTTTTCAACAATTTCCCAAAAGACCAGGAACCTCACGTTTGTCACATTGAGCACCTCCTCACGGAGTCGTTGATCTGGGCACACAGGTGAGTTGATCCGTCACGTTTGCGAGCTCCTCTATATGGGTTGAGCCGTAGATGTGTAAACTTCAAGTCAGGAATTCTTTTGGATTCTTGCAATGGCGAATGAGGTGAACATCCTTGCCGATGGCTAGACCTAAAGCATTTATGTAACACCAAATTCACACGGAGGTGCGGACGCTTTGGAATTTGACGCTCGCGTTGATATTTCCATCGCATCTAGCCTCCACCAAGGAGTGGCCTAAGCTACGTTTTGCGAGCCCATTTGAACAGTGCAAGCTGTTTCGAATACTCACAAACACGTATGCTTGGTTTTTCACTCCAGAGCACAGTGGGATCGGAGAGATAGGAGGATATCGTTTGGATCCTCGGCCTTGCAAAGCTTGTTTCGACAAGCCGTTGCAAAGCCGGGGTGAAGCGACATCCAGCTTTCTCTGCGTTTTTCATAACGCAGTGACTGCTAAACGCTTTTGTCGTCTCAAAAAACACGGTCGACCGACCATCTTGCTTCCCTTTTTACAAATGGGGTTGTGAGGTGTGACGTCGATTCGGCTTCTCGAGGCCTATCCTCTTGGGGACGGCTGTGGGAAGTCGGAAAGACTTAGTTACCTGGTTGATTCTGCCAGTAGTCATATGCTTGTCTCAAAGATTAAGCCATGCATGTCTAAGTATACGCAAATTATACTGTGAAACTGCGAATGGCTCATTAAATCAGTTATAGTTTATTTGATGTTTCTTGCTACATGGATAACTGTGGTAATTCTAGAGCTAATACATGCGTAAAAAGCCCCGACTTCTGGAAGGGGTGTATTTATTAGATAAAAACCATCCTCCTCGGAGTTTGGTGATTCATAATAACTTCTCGAATCGCACGGCCTTGTGCTGGCGATGCTTCATTCAAATATCTGCCCTATCAACTGTCGATGGTAGGATAGAGGCCTACCATGGTTGCAACGGGTAACGGGGAATAAGGGTTCGATTCCGGAGAGGGAGCCTGAGAAACGGCTACCACATCCAAGGAAGGCAGCAGGCGCGCAAATTACCCAATCCCGACACGGGGAGGTAGTGACAATAAATAACAATGCAGGGCCCTTTTGGGTCTTGTAATTGGAATGAGTACAATTTAAATCCCTTAACGAGGAACGATTGGAGGGCAAGTCTGGTGCCAGCAGCCGCGGTAATTCCAGCTCCAATAGCGTATATTAAAGTTCCCTTCGGGGCCTATGATCATAAAGTACAAATATCATAGGAAAGTAGTGACCTTGCCGTGGTCCGAAGGGCTTAAGCGTTAAAAGCGCAACAAACAACTACTATCGTACATTGAAACCAAAAGGTAGCCGGACTTTAGATCAGACCTAAACCCTCTGATTTTCAGGATGGCACCTCAAACTTGCGGGTCTGCTAACGCAGAGCCCCAAAAAGCCTCGTTGGTTGCTGAAACCTCGAACAGATTGGATTCCTTTCCAAAGAGTTCGGCAGCGCCTCCGAGCATCAACAGACGGCGAAGGAGGAGGCCAAGTCAGCTGGCGAAGATTGCGAAAGCAGCATCTGGTGAGGAAAGTGCAGCTCCGGTCGAAGACCTGAGTGGTGCCGAATCATCAGATGAATCTTCAATAAATGATGGTGATGTTAACTCATTGCCCGGTTCCGATTCCTCGATGCCAGAATATGAGAAAGGCTTGTCCAACTCAACGGACAATGACCTAACAAAATCTGCGGATGGGTTGGCTTTGGCAGAAGTTGATGAGGAGATCCTAATGGACGCTCCCGCGGCTTCTACCCCCATTGCCAGTGCATTTGCAATCAAACTCAAGTCGGGTCTGCCCTCTGCGGATCTTTCGGTCCATGAGCCGGTGAATTGGTCTTCTGAAAAGGAGACTGAGGAAGCCCTCAAGGCCCGAAAGGCGCGGAGAAAAGAGGCCTGCAAAAATAAACAGAAGGTAGCAGCAGCAGCCCGAAAGGATGAGCTTGAAAAGGCTCGCCTTGATGGGAAAGTGCCACCCCGAGACTGCACTCGTTGCAAAACGAGGCATTGGGAGCAAGATGCCTGCCCTTCAAAGGCTGAACTGGTACCCCCGGTACCAGATAAACTGGCTCCGAAGCCATCTTCCAAAAGGAAGTTGGCTGAAGAGCACAATCCAAGAACTGCGGGGCCCTCCTCAAAGGGCAAAGGTAGAGTTATGAATGTCGAGCTTGCTGGCGGTGTCAGTGCTTGCGTCACAGCTGGTCGGCGAGAGCCGAAACATACCCAAGAGTTTCAAGATGGAACTCATTGCTACTTGAACCTCCCAAAGTTCTCAAAAGAATGGCAGAAAGGGAAGCAGCCTGAAAAGGCATTCTCCCTTAAGGAAATTGTGTCGGCGCTGGCTGCAGCTGGGCTTAGTCCCAAGCAAGCTACAGATGCAGGATTCACGGTCGAGTGGTTGATCAAATTTGAATCCGTATCTGCAGCCCAAGATGCAGTCCGCGTGCCTCTCACCCTCCGTGGAGTGAGAGTGCGCCTTACTCCTTTCTTTGGACAAGGCCCCCGCATTTTCGTCTGCAAAACCAAGGGGACGGTCTCATGGGAAGAGCTAATAAATAGCCTCCATGAGTTCGCCCCTCAGGCTAAATTCAAACTGAAGAGGGAAGAATTCGCAGGGTGCGCCGGGAACAAGTGTCTCCTCATTTTTGACACGCCCCAGCAAGCTACGCAAATCTCCCTCGTTTTTAAATCTGCTAAATTCACTGTCGCTTTCCTGCCCCTTAGTCCGCTGCCCCCGTGTGCCATATGCTGCGAGGGACACACATCAGTAGACTGCGGATCGTTAGTTCCTGTCCCCTGTCCCCCTGGCGCACTTAGTTTCTACGACCACTTGATAGCTGATAGATAAAATCTTTTTAAAATGCCGAAAACCATGCTAATTGCGACTGTGAATGTGAGGTCCGTTTTTAGTGAAAATCGATTCTGTGAATTAATCCGTTTCTTTAAAATATCTAAATTAGATATTTTATTAATGCAAGAGGTCCGCCTCTCAAAATCGCGAGCTGAACGTTATAATACAACATTCCCTGGTATTAAACTGCTTGTAAATCCCAATAACACTGATCATTCTGGTGGTGTGGCAATTATGTTGAACTCGTTAACAGTGAGTCTGAGTAGTGGCACATTGTTGGCTGTGGAAGGAAATTTTTCCTCGGAAGACTTTCTCTATGATGAGACTGGAAGGTTACTTGTTATTAAAATCAATTGTTGTGAACGACAATTAACAATGGGTTGTGTTTATGTGCCTGCTGACAGTACAGATCGGTCAGACTGGTTAGAAAATACAACCGAGTTTCTGGTGTCCCTTCGAAGCCGCCTACAGTGTGATATAGTAGGCGGAGACTGGAATATGGTATTAAATGCCATGGATCTTACTTCGACTCGACGACCAAATCTGAGAGAAAGACATAGGTTACTTACCTTCCTTTCCTGCCTAAATGCTGAAACTGATGGTCTAATTGATGGGTACCGAGTACAAAATCCGGAAACAATTATGTACACTCATACGAGTCATAATAGCCAAGCTCGCCTCGACCGAATATATGTTGTGCCTGATCTCCTTACTGATACTTATGAATGGGAAACACAGGTACCGCCAAATTCTTTAAATCTGGATCATCATATGGTTACTGTGAAACTGAAACCTCTAACTCAAGTGGAGCGAGGCCCAGGACGTTTTCGCTTTAAATGTAGTCTTATGAAATCAAAATCTGTCCAACAGTGCCTTGACTGGTTTGTGGAAAATTTGAAAAAGGAGCCCGTGTGTCCTGAACGTTGGGCTACCCTTAAAACTCGGTTGGAAATTTCCCTTGCAAAAATTGTAAAAGCTAAAGTAAAAGCCCTCACACAAAAGCGAGTTTGAACTAAAAGAAAGCGCCTGAGACTTATTGCACAAAGAAATTCCTCAAAAAATCATGCTCTCGAGCAAAAAATAAATGCGGTAATTGCGAGAGAAAGTCAACTAAATGAATTTGCTACACGGGCATATGCTTATAGCTCCATGGCCAAAAATCGGTTGTTGGGTGAAAAGCCAACTCGGTGGTTTTTCTCACGATGTATGACTTCGACTCTCTCAAATGTGAAAGCTTTACAAAATGGACAAACTGGTGCACTCGAGGAAGATCCAAAAAATCTCCCGAATATAGCTGCTGAATTCTATGAATTGTTGTTTGCCAAAAAATCAACAAATCCCAGCATTGGTCGTAAATTTATTGACCTAATGCCAAAAATCCCGGTAATTCTACGAGGTCCTCTCCAAGGTCCCATCACCTCCACTGAGGTGAGAGCTGGCATTCGAGGGGCGGCTACGGGTAAGTCGCCTGGACCGGATGGCCTCCCAATAGAATTATTTAAACACGTCCTTAAGTCGTGCCCGGAAAATGCTGAAATTCTGTGTAATAGCCTTGCCACATTTTTTAATTCGTTACTTGAAGGAAATAGGGCGGGTGAACATTTCTCAATTGGAGTGTTATCAATATTATACAAAAACAAAGGCTCACCGAGTGAGCTAAAAAATTATAGACCCCTTACTGTGACAAATTCGGATTATAAGCTGTTCACCAGTATATTAGCGAAAAGACTCTGTGTAGCCCTAAGTGAGGTGGTAGGTCCACATCAATATGCTTTCTTGCCAGGAAGGCTGATTGATGACAATATTTGTTTGGTACAGTCCGTGATTGATGAGTATAAAAACCCTGAAAAAGGGGGTACTTATCTTCTTTTTATTGACCAAGAAAAAGCCTATGATCGAGTTGATCATAAATTTCTATGGCGACTTCTGAAACATGTTGGTGTTCCCCAACAGATCCGAAGGGCCATTAAAATGTTGTATACTGACATCAGATTGAGGGTCATGATTAATGGCTACTCAAGTGCGACTTTCCCGGTGTTGAGTGGGGTGCGACAAGGTGATCCACTAAGTTGCATCCTTTACGTTCTGTTTTTGGAGCCCCTTATCCGTCAAATAAATGCGTCTGATATTACAGGAGTACCTTTACCCAACGGTGAGGCCATCAAAGCTGTCTGCTATGCAGATGACACGGTGCTGATCCTTAAAAACCAAGCCGAAGTTGACATTGCACTAAAAATCCTAAAAGATTTCTGCGAAGCTACTGGGGCAAAAATTAATTGGAATAAATCGAGCGTCTTACAGGTTGGGAATCCACCTCCCATTAATATTCCTGAGGTCTCTTACGTTTCTCCAGAAAATCCATACCTGCATTTAGGGGTACCTATGGGTACTGACATTAATGCTCAGGTTCAAACTATTTGGGACGATATGAAGTTAAACATGGAAAACATCGCATCGCGCTGGTCCAAAGCTCATCTCTCCCTAAAGGGAAGAGTACTAATTGCAAATAGCCTGATGTACTCTCTCCCGCGATATCACCTAAAATTCGTGCCCATCTCGTCTCAGATGATCAACACTTTTGTGAAGATTTATTATGATTTTATTTGGGACCAAAAATCGCATCAGAAACTAAATGACTTACATGCTATTCTCCCAACTGAAAAAGGGGGTATCGGAAGCGTTGATCTCCATAGCGTGATAGATGTCCTATGTGTTGAACTGGTTGCCAAACTCGAGTCAAGAATAGACCTACCTTGGGTACAAATCCAGCGACGGTTACTGGCTCGCCTACATACCCGAACACAGGGCGAGATCCTATCCGTGATCACTAAACCATGGGTGCAAAGGGTGTTGAGTAGGCCACTCAAGGAAAGTGAGCTTCCATCGTGTATCCAACATTTTTGGCATAAATGGATTCGCATCTTCCAAAATTCAGCAAATAATATTATCCTACAGCCTCCGGCTAGTAAGGATGATGTGCTTGCTATCAATTTCTGGTACCATCCGGAGCTAAAAATTCTCCCCGGACAGGGGGCACGGCGCTTCTCCAATGCAACATTTCGTTTCTTGGCTGAAGCTGGTATCACAAAAATAGGCGACATTTGGGATCCTGACTCTGCTCAGGTTAAAATACCAAATAATATGCCACAAACTCGGCGTCAAGCAATGAAGGCAGCAGTTACTAATTTATTACGAGACCTGCCCCTATCTTGGCAAAATATGCTTAATACGACACCATTGGGCCACACTACTGAATTTTCTGATGAAATATGTATCCGGCTGAGGAAACCTAATGGGGAATTTTGGCTAACTCCTATCTGGAAGACAAGCTTCAAAGCGATCTACAGGCGGATGATTGACCTCAAAACCGAAGGGATAAGTTACGATCATCAAATTGTGCCCCTTCTCCAAATATACAATGCTCACACTGGAAAAAAAGGTGATACGAAGATGATTTGGCGAAGTGCCAGGAACAATTTTCTCACCCCAAAACAGGGCAATTTACTATGGCGCTTTTTGCGTCAAAAAGTTTTAGTAGGGCAGGATCTTCACTGGCTTGACCGTGAGGACCAAGAATGCCCCTCATGCCATGTCCTGTCCTCTGTTGAGCACCTCTGGATCTCGTGCCCCACGGCACAACAAATATGGGATTTAGTGCGAACCACTTGGGAATGAGCGTGGCTAAAACTCTGTCCAGATACAGAGCTGCCTGCCTTCCCTAAATTTGAAACTTGGCACAACCTTGCCACCTGGTTGGCAATGGCACCCGTTGCTGGCCAGTATCATGCCTGTTGATGGAAGATACTGGTTGGTACAGCGGTATGGTCAATCTGGGTTGCTTATCTCTGCTGGAGCTATAAAGAGGACTTAAATGCCCTTTTTCCGGCCTCAATTCGTGCTCTATTTTTGAAATTGCTGAGCAACAGATTTTAGGAAGATTGCTTGTTGTCTTTGAACTCACTTTATGCGAATAAAATTTTCAACGTCGATGCTTTTCAACAATGCTGGGGTCACACCCCCTCAACTGCCAAGGCAGCTTTCTCTGTAATAGAGATTCTGCCTCTAAATGCTCAAAACGTCCCAAACTTGGGGCCTGATGCTTAGGTCAGAGTACCCT